GCGGTCCAGTTCTGGTCACCAGTACTAAGAAAAGATGTCCTTGAGTTGGAAAAAGTCCAGCGGAGGGCAACCAAACTAATTAGGGGTATGGAGGACCAGAGCTACGAGACAAGGCTACTAAATTTAAACATGTTCACATTAGAGGTGAGGAGATTAAGGGGGGATATGATTTCCATGTACAAAATGTTCAATGGTGGTAGCAACATTAGCGATAAACTGTTTAAAATTAACTCCGTTACAAAAACAAGAGGCCAACACCTAAAATTGGTGGAAAAAAAATTCCAGCACAAGGGGCGAAGGGGGTTCTTCACAGTAAGATCAGTTAGGGTCTGGAACTCACTGCCACAGGCGGTGATTTCAGCAAATAATGTGGAATTGTTCAAGAAACTTTTGGACGATTTCTTAAGGGACCGTAATATACAGGGGTACAGGTAACATACAGGGGTACAGGTACTCCTAGAATGAGATCCTAATAGGTTGGACTTGATGGACTAATGTCTTTATTCAACCTCAAATACTATGTAACATTGGTCTGTGCATGATGGGGTGTTCGAGTATAAATCGAACGAGGGTTCGATGAGGGCACAAAGGAAATGGAACGATAACCGATAGGTGTATGGGCAGCTTTAGGAAGATGGATTCTGAGGTTCAACTGCACATCATCCCAGTGTGTATAGGTTTCGGGTTCTGGTTAATAGGAGATTCATTGGCAGGAAGGAGAGCGCTGTGAGCGGCCGCCGTCTCTCTTCCCACACCGCTCAGCCGCCTATCACAGTCCGGCAGAGCGGTGTGTGGACGGAGACAGCCCGCGCTGTCACAGGAGGCTGAGCTCTCCTCCCTCACATTCGCTCAGCCACCTGTGACATCGTGTCAGGATGGAGACCGGTACAAACACTCAGATCAGTGATCGCTGAGTGTTTGTAGATAATGGAGGACAGAGTATGGTTACTATATCCTCAATTATGAATGAATGGGAAGTGATCTACATCACTTCCTGATACATCACCTCCTGTTCATTCATAGTTGTAGTTATAGTAAACATACTATTTTCTCAAGTTATCAATGAACAGGAACACTCAGTATAGAGGATTCCTGTTCATTTATAACAGGGGATACAGAAAAAGAGATTGACTTTAATTAGTAAATAAAAATAAATATAAAAAAAAGTTTATTAAAAAAATAAAATATTTTTTAAAAATTGAAAAAAATGTAAATAAAAAACATTTTCGGTATCGGTTTCGGCCTGAACATTTTTTTTATTTCGGTTTCGTTTTAAAATTTCCATTTCGGTGCACCTCTAATAATCATATTACCTTTGCTGATGCTTTTCCAATCTCATCTATGACTGCCATGGTTTGTTTCAGTGCTTCAGAACTAAAAGCAAAAAGACAACAGCTGATTAATAACCCCTAACAACTGATGGTAACGTTGCATGATAATAAGCTGGACCTGTCTGTGCCAGGGTTTAGTGTATGTTTACTTGAGTTGAGATATTATTGCAGTGTCTACCTTAAAGCATTTCTAAAACTTACCCTTGCAGTGCGGCTACTCCAGTCTAGGGGAGTCACATAAAGCAGATATACTCACCTGATCCTTGGTCAGGGCTCACCTCGCGTCCTTATGTCTAATGCAAGCCAATGGACCTGCATTAGACATGATGATGTCAGCGGTCCTTCATCCGCAGGAGCCCAGGGGAGAAGAAGCTGTGGGGACCGGTCTAGTAGCCAGGAACCAAGGATCAGGTGAGTATATCTGCTTTATTTGACTCCCCTAGACAAAACAAGAACGTAACCCTTGCAGTGCGGGGGGGAGAGGGGGGGGTAGCCCCAGTGCAAGGGTAAGCGTTAAAGATTCCTGGAGTTCTTTTTTAAAGTGACCCTGTTGGCAAGATCACAAATTTGAGCCAGAAGCATCCTTACTTACCTGTACGGTGGCCCTCTGTGATTTTCCCCACTGGCTGCTACATCACCACTCTGTCCTGTAGTGACATAGGAGTCGGCAGATAGAACCACAGTGGGGGAAATGCTATACAAGACACCCGGAAGTGTTACATTGCACCAGTACCCCTAGCTCTGGAGGAAAGAGAAGTTTTGACTTACACCCTACAATCAGGAAAGTATTCAACTTTTTCTTTTACAGGGTGCTTTGGGCTTACATTTGATGCTAGCGACAAAGTCGCTTGCGGCTTGAGTTGCTTTAAAGGAGAACTGTACCTTCCATAACCATCCTATCTAGTTCTCCCGAACTAATCTACACCAAAACTCCCAATGCCAGCATCTTACATCCCTCAAAGGCTCAATCACAGCCTGCCGTCATGCCAACAGCTTCTCCAGAACAAAATCCTCTTTAGTGTAGGCCATGCCTACTCTGTGAGTCCTCATAGACTTGTATGGGCCTTCTATTGAGACTAGAAATGCTCAACAGATGGCCAACGCTATGTAAGAGGATTTGGGCTGAAGAAGCTATAAGGATCAGAGCAAGAGGCAGCTGTGCTATATGCAGACATGATTTCCCTCTCCTCCATTGCAATTCTGCTCCACAGGTTTCGGTCCTGACTCAGTTTGCCTTCTGACATGTGCAAGGCTCAATTTACTGTGACTTGGCTCATTGAGACCAATGTACCTGCTCCAGCACTCTAATGACCGTTGACCATTGAGGGAAAAGTGACAGTGCCTCTTGATAGCCAGCGCCCACACTTTATGCAGCGCTTTACACAGTTGCAAAATCATATCAGTCCCTGCCCTTGAGGATCTTACAATCTAAAAGGTATAGTCACCCATCTGCACTACCTGCTCTGTCAGAACCCTGTATGGAGCCTCAGTGATGTAAAAGGCCTGAGGGCCACATCACATGTGGATTGATGAATATAAGTTGCTGAAGGTAGGAAAGGGGGGAATATAACTATCGGGAGGCATTGTACCTCTGCCCTGAATGAATGATTGTGTGTGTGTGTGTGTGTGTGTGTGTGTGTGTGTGTGTGTGTGTGTGTGTGTGTATACTTCCCTATCTGTATTTTTCCTTTCCTGATGCCAGTACATGGCAGTATACAGGACCCATTGTATGCTGCCATGTACGGTATCAGGAAATATATATACATATATAAAAACGTATTTCTTACAGTCTGATTCTAATCACCATAGGAGTAGTACTAAAAGAAATTCCCAAGGCCAGAACTGATGTCGCCCAGACTGTACATTGTACACAGACAACAGCATCCCAGTAGCTTCATCCAGTCTATCAAATCAATGTTCTCTTCAGATGTGAGATCATCCGGAACCCTCCACACTAAATAATGACTTGCATTCACGGCTCCCAGACTTCCACCCCCAGAGCACAACTGAATAGTCGCAGATATAATAATCTGAGCTTTGTCCATTGTATAGACCGGGCACACAATCAAGAGCAGAGGAGCGTCTTAAAGGATCAGAAGACACGCAGGAAAACTGGAGAGCGTACAATCAGTACTCATTTTAGAGTATTTTTTAATCATTCACCTGAACATTTTGCAGAAACATGCTGGTGACACAAACAATGTGATCGCAGCCTATGCCTTTTAGCTGCGTATTTCTGCACAATAGTGGGAACGGGCCCTAAGTCGCTGCCCCTTCCAAGTCTGGAGGAGAATTACGATTGCTTTTATTTCATAAAGCAGCATCTGCCTACTGAGTACAACTAGAAGGCCCCTTCCATACGGGCTGATCAGGAGGGAATCCGTGTACGGTTCCCCTCCTGATTGGATTGGTATGGATTGGATGTCACTGATGTGACATCCGTCCAGTTTGTTCCTCCATCATGCAATGGAGGTAAAAGCTGAAATGACCGGACCTCATGTTGGTCCTATGGGGAATTGGATCTTAACAGACATGTGTCTATTTACATCAGGTTACCCTGATCTAGTACGATTGGGTCCGTTGAAACAAAACAAAGTTCCATTTGTTTTTCCAGACCTGGTCGGTGTCAGGGGCAACCGGATGCCAGTCTGTTTAGACCCAGCTGCCCGCAGACTAGCACTGGGCATCCAATCGGCCATGTTGTGAAAGGGGCCTAAATTAGAATTTCACCAGACAGGAAGTGTTTGAAAATCTACAACAGGGACACAGCCAGCAAATAACAAATTATAGGGGATTCTGGCCATGGTCGGACTGGGGTACCTGGGACCCACTGGATAAAGGGGGCAGAAAAGCTCACTGAGAGGCTACAAAGCCCCACATATTGGATGTGATTTAAAGGGACATGGTTAAAGACCTCCAGGAATGAACAAAGGGTTGACTGCTTGTTTTTCTCTAGGGGACGGAATACAGAAGATATACTCACCTGATCCCCGTTCCTGGGGCAGTCAGCGCTCTTCTCTATCCCCCTCCGCTCCGGCTGTGGTATGTAAGGGTTAATTTTAAGTCTTGGAGTGCTTCTTTAAATACTGCCTGAGCTTAATCACAGTACACACTGCACATGTCTGACACTGTCCTTGTACTTACAAGATACTCTAATCACACGGACACAAGACATAGTTGTAAGAAATATATATACATATAAATAAAAATAAACCACCATCAGATCACCCTCCCTGAAACACAGAAAACATATAAAAAACGTCTGACACAGAACAGCCCCTGCTGCAACTTCTCAACTACAATGTTGCAATTAAAGGGGTACGGGGGCTTGGTGTGAACCTGGTATGCCCAAGCCCCTGCAAAATTGTGACTGACACCCCTGCCCCCAAACTCCAGATCAGTTACAGCAGGGGATTCCCTGCCTCTTTGTTATGTGTAGCTGCGGGGAGGGGGATGCCCCTGCCGCAACTGATTAGGATGGAGGGGGTGTGTCAGTCACAGTTTTGCATGGGCTTGGGCCCCCCCTGCTCATCACTAGTTACAATGTACAATCTAATGACTATGTGCAATGCGTGGGTTAACATGCTCTACGTATGGTACCCCGTGTTACAACAACACATAGGTGTGAAGCCAGATGTAAAATAATTTCACTAGAACGGACTATAAAAACTTTACTGAAGTGGGGATTTTTTTTTTTTACATCTTCATGGGCCCCCCTGGAGTCTGGGGCCCCTGGCCAGCTGCCCTTTCATCCCTTATTAAAATCAGTCACTGGCAGCGATACGAACCTGGAGATGAGTGGCCGGCGCACAGGGATGAGGCTGCGGTCAAGCTTAGTGATGGGGTCCAGGAAGATCTTGTGCACGTCAAAATCAAACTCCATGTTGGCCAAATCGCATTAAAGTGTGCAAAGAGACGCTCGTACAATTGAAAGTCAGCTGACGCTCATTGATGAATACGGTATTCATTCACAATCTGTCACCATGGCATCATATCCTTATCTCCTGCCTGGCAGTTCTGGGCCTTTTGTTGCACCAGCACTTACCTTACTGACAGGTGACTGCATGCACCTAATAAATCACATGCTGGGCCCTCTATGGAAAGGAAACTACACTGAACATCACATGCATTACTCAGACTGGGGGGCCACTATCCTTCACACAGACAGGTAAAGCCGGTCTGCGCGCACCCGCCGTCCTCCACTACGGAGCGCGCCCCCGAGACAATAGAAACGGGCCATAGACGGGAGGCGAGAGCAGCGCGAGACCACGTGACCACCACCTGCTCCAATCGGCTGAGGAGCGTCTGCTTCCACCTAGCAACCGCTTCCCTAGCGACATAAGCACACGCCGGCGATTGGCTACGAAGGGAGTGGGGGGAAAAGCTTTAAGCTCGTGCCTGATGTATGCAGTAATAGGCTTTTATCGGACCACGCCCCTGACAGCACTGCTTCTGTGATGTCAGGCTAAGCAGCCCCCTAGTAACCATGCAGGCCTTCCTTAGCAACGGGATGATGTTCCTTTTGCATACGTGGTACATGCTCCGGCCCCTCCAGCTGTGTTTTATCTACAAATCCCAACATATCTCTGCCTCTGGGAGTCATGCTCGTAACTGTCAGTCTTGCAATGCCTCATGGGACTTGTAGTTCCACAACTGGAGGGCCGGAGTTGCCCACACTGCTTTAGCAACAAGCAGTTACCTGTTGTTAGCAGCATCAGCTATGCTGTCCTACGCTGCAGCTCCACAGTCCAATGCTCAGTTGCTTGTTTCTTCCTGGCCTGTGTGTTTGCTGTGTAACAGGCTAACAATGCAGCCTGCCCTGACCCCCTTCCATGGATAGAGATTACTGATTGCTGCCTGCCCTGACCCCCTTCCATGGATAGAGATTACTCTACTGATTGCCTCCTGCCCTGACCCCCTTCCATGGGTAGAGATTGCACTACTGATTGCCACCTGCCCTGACCCCTTGCCATGGGTAGGGATTCCACGGATTGAGATGACTGATTGCTGCCTGCCCTGACCCCCTTCCATGGATAGAGATTAATGATTGCTGCCTGCCCTGACCCCCTTCCATGGATAGAGATTATTGATTGCTGCCTGCCCTGACCCCCTTCCATGGATAGAGATTACTGATTGCTGCCTGCCCTGACCCCCTTCCATGGATAGCGATTACTGATTGCTGCCTGCCCTGACCCCCTTCCATGGATAGCGATTACTGATTGCTGCCTGCCCTGACCCCCTTCCATGGATAGATTACTGATTCCTGCCTGCCCTGACCCCCTTCCAAGGGATAGAGATTACTGATTGCTGCCTGCCCTGACCCCCTTCCATGGATAGAGATTACTCTACTGATTGCCTCCTGCCCTGACCCCCTTCCATGGGTAGAGATTGTTCTACTGATTGCCTCCTGCCCTGACCCCCTTCCATGAGTAGAGATTACTCCGCCTTCTACTACTAAGCCATGCTGTTGTCATGGATGCAGTATGCGGTTTAGCATCGTCCTGCTGAAATATACAAGGCCTTCTCTGAAAAAGACGTCGTCTGGATGGGTGCATATGATGCTCTAATTCTGGATATATCTTCCAGCATTGATGGCGCCTTACCAGATGTCCAAGCTGCCCATTCCATACACACTAATGCACCCCCGTACCATCACAGATGCCCATTCCATACACACTAATGCACCCCCGTACCATCACAGATGCCCATTCCATACACACTAATGCACCCCCGTACCATCACAGATGCCCATTCCATACACACTAATGCACCCCCATACCATCACAGATGCCCATTCCATACACACTAATGCACCCCCATACCATCACAGATGCAGGCTTTTGTACTGAGTGCTGATAACAAGCCAGAGGCCCCTCTCCTCTTTAGTCACAGTACTGTACACATTGCACACGTCGTGGTGCGTTCCAGCAGCTACCGCTCTGGAACGCACACGCTTTCGATGTGAACAAGGCCTTAGTATTGCGTGGGTTAACATGCTCTATGTATGTTACCCCATGTTACCACATCACATAGGCGTGAAGCCAGATGTAAAAGATTTTCACCAGAGCTGATTGTAAACTTTAGTGAAGTGGGGACATCTTCATGGGCCCCCCTGGAGTCTGGGGCCCCTGGCCAGCTGCCCACACAGCCCTTATTAAAATCTGTCACTGGCAGCGATACGAACCTGGAGATGAGTGGCCGACGCACAGGGATGAGGCTGCGATCCAGCTTAGTGATGGGGTCCAGGAATTGCCAAACAATTTCACATTTCGATTCTTCTGACCACAGAACAGTTTTCCAGGTTGCGACAGACCATTTTAGGGGAGCGTTGGCCCGGAGAAGACGGCTGAGTTTCTGCATCATGTCCAGATGTGGCTTTTTCTTTGCATCATAGAGCTTCAACTGGCATTTTTGGATGCCATGGCGAGCTGCGTCCACAGACAGTGATTTGTGGAAGTATTCCCCAGCCCATGCAGAATCATGACTGTTTTTAATACATTCCCATCTGAGGACCCAAATATCACGGCGTCCAATATTGCGCTTTAGCCTTGCCCATTGTACACAGAGATTTCTCCAGATTTTTGGAATGTTTTGCTATTATGTACTGTAGATGAGGATACTTATAAAAAAGTCTTTGCAATTTTACATCGAGGAACAATATTCTGAAATTGTTCGACAATTTTTAGAAGCGGCTTTTCCCAGATTGGTGAACCTCTGCCTATCTCTGCAAAAAGTTTCCCAGCACACTCACCAGCCAGCATGCAAAAAAAAAAAACTTGTCTCAATTTGCCGCATGTGCTCCAAGATGGAGACTCTCATAGTTTAGAGTTAGGACCGCACTATATAGAGGTGCCTTGGCGCGGCTGTGCGACTTTCACATTTTCTGCAGAAGACGTGTATCCAAACCTCTGTTTTTAACCTTAGCGGTTAGACAGGTTTTTTTGCATGCTGGCTGGTGAGTGTGCTGGGAAACGTTTTGCTGTTGTACTGTATTAAGCCCTTCCATGTGCACCTTGCTGTAGCTGGTGACAAATTGATGAGTGTGTTTGCCATTTGTTTTGCTTAACTGATTTGGTGCAGTGACGCATGGGGGGTCTCAGCTGCCGTTGTGATGTGCGGGGTCCTTTGTGTGTCCCTGTGCCTTTAAGGGAGGTTGGGCTTCCTCCTGACAAATCTGCACCCAATTTTATCTTTTGCTACATGTGCTCCAAGTGGTTCCGTCGGCTAACGAAGTGGGAGGAGTCCGGTGACATCACAGACATCAATGTCACCAGACTCCCGCTTCCCTTCATTAGCCGTCACGGACATCGACGTCACCGGACTCCTCCCCCTTTCCCTTCGTTAGCCGATGGAGCCACTTGGGGAAGGAGTCCGGTGACATCGATGTCCGTGACGTCACCAGATCGTCGACGGGACTTTAGTTTATAAAACCAGTAGCAACTGAATGCAGAGGCAACTATTTATGATAATAAAGAGTAGATGCATAGTCCTATACAACCGGCCCTTTGAGGGTAACCATACTGCTGATGCGGCCCCCAATGAATTTGAGTTTGCCACCCCTGCCTTAGGGGTATATCATGGGAAGTACAAAGCTGGTGGAAAGAAGTAACTCAGTCTGAGGAGATCAAGAAATGCACATCTCCAAAGTTGGGGTCTTGCCACCAATTGAACTGTGTGGGGTTCTCCAGGAAGGGAAGGAGTAGAGGGCAACAATGGTTGCAGAGAAGAGGAAGATGCGGTGATATAAGGCCTCTGGAGAATTTCACTGAATCCCAAAGACGCAATGTGCGAGTTAAAATAGGACTTAAGTAGCTAGGTCGATGCACAAGTGGAAGCCGCAGTAGGGAAGATATGGGGATCAGATGGAAGTATAACCAATCAAGGGATGCCCAAACAGGTAAGACATTAGTAGCGTGAAGATGAAGCAAAGGGGCTATATTTCCAGCCAGGTAGTATTGATGAAGATTGGGAACTGTCAAGGGTGGGATAGAGGTCAGAGGAACCCAGAAAAGGAGGTTGGAAGAACCCCACATATAGTAATTCAGGGAGGTACATCATTTTAACACGATATTGTGAAACATTTACAAAAATCACAGAGAGTGTAACCGTCTAAACTGTAGAGGGAAATTAGCTTAATAAAAGAGATCCATTAGTGGAGATAAAGTCAATTCCAAAGTACAGCAGGAGTCCACCTATTGACATGGGTAAGAAGACTGGAGTCGGAAGCGTCTGGGGCAATAAAGTGACAGATATTCTTAGATGGGTTTATATGAGGACCGGAAAGGATATCAAAGTTGCTCAACCGAGAGAGATGATTAGGAAGGGTGGTGAGGGATAGGAATATATCATTGACGAGGAGTGTGCGCTTGTGGGCGACTTCCTCAATCTCAATTCCATCAACACTGGTATTAGCGCGTATTTCTTCTGCAAGAGGTGCGAGAGGCAGGATAATTAAAATGGATGATAATGGACAACCCTGTCGAGTACTTTTTTTTTTAAATGGGAGACATAGGAGATTCAAAACCTTAATATTTGAGCTTAGCCTGTGGAGTACTATTGAGAGCAGCTATCCATGACATACATTGAGGCTGAAACCTAGATGCTGATGTGCTGCAAATAAGATCAAGAGAGGGAATCTAAAGCCTTGATAATACTTAGAGAAAAGTAACATTGACGCCTAACAAGACCGAGGGAGATGGATTAGTAGTAAGACTCTACAAATGCTGTCACATTATTGATGTCTTGGGCAAAATAACACTTAAGGGGGGTTATTGACAAAAGGGTGAAGAGCTTGGAGAAGGCAGGTGAAGTGAACAATTTAGGACAGCATAGCTGATTTGGAAGGGCCGGTGCAAGGATTTTTGCCTACACAGGTGAAAGAGCACTTTTTTAAATTTTTTACATTTGTATTTATTTTTTTACTTTACTCATCTGATTCTCTTTCACTTTTTTATTTATCATTTTTTTTCTAATTTGTTAATTTCTTTAACCTTACTATCTTTTACTTTTTATCAAATTATAATTTTTTACTTATTTTTTCATAAATATGTGCGGCCGGCAGGAGAGAGAGGGAGCGCTGACAGGTGGGATCAGAGCCGCCGCGGCCAGTCGCATTTTTCCAGGCCACAATAAGTATGTCACTTTTTTTTTTTATTTTGCTCATAGTCCATCTTTCTGTGGATTTGTAAAATTAACTAGTGTATCTGAATTCGACTTGGCAATAGCCTCCTGCAATCCCCTGTACAGCAGAACTAAGGCTGAGACAGAAAGAAGCAGTACAAGGAGCCACAAGCTGGTATGCACCTCTCATTATGTCCCTTCTGACAAGGAGGAGTTGAGCAAAGTGACAAGAGAAGAGTTCATCAGTCTGCCTCCTCTTCACTGTCCAGTCACAGACTAGGGGCAGGGAAAGACCTAATTATACTTACTGCAACATTGAAAGTCTATATAAAGCTTAATGAATGGACAGAAATACAAATCCTTGGCAGGTTAAACTCCTCCCACACAAGTATTTCATGTGAATATTTAGCAGTTTTTCCTGGAGTTCAGCTGTTACGTATCATCTGGTGAAACTGTAGCATAAGACTTCCAACAAAAACATATCACCGTCTCACTGGGTTTATTTATCATTTACAAAGTATACAAAAAAAGAAGTCCAAAATAAAGGAATCCCTTTAGGGACCCATAAAAAACAATTAAAGTAATTAAAATTAATACAATATATTCAACAGTTTTCTTGTTCATGGTATACATTTGTACAGATGCTCAGCATCATAATTGCTTAATGATATACATAACTGCTCAACCATATACATACATATATAAAAAAAAAAAAAAAGAAGTATAAAAAAATATAGTTTAGTGGTTTCCATTGCTGGTCTAGTTCACCACAGTGCATATTTTGGGAAAGGTTCCCACTTTAGTGTAAAGTCAACAGTCAGTGTTAATACTTGTAAGTCTTGGCAGGTTTTTTTTTCTATGGAGTTGCATTGAAGAGAGGAGAGGAACGGAGCTGGCTCTGGATAAGTCACCTCTGGGTCAAATTGCATTGATTTAGTGTTATCGGGATGTCAGAAGATACTGAACCTTCTGGGATGACAAACACTGGAAGCCCAATACAGGAAGAGCAACAGGACGAAATGGAAAATGAAAAAGGTGCAAGAAAAACAAAAGGACGCTGGGCAAAGACGTTCGGCCTCATCCTAATACACCACTTTTTCCTTCATCAGTGGTATTTCTAGGTCACCTAGCAAGGATTAAAGAGGGACAGTTTTTTTTT